TTGTATAGAATGAAACTGAGGGTTTTCTATGCCGTAGCTTCAGGATCGTTTAGATGCATCAAAAAGTCATACATTATATGTATCTCATCAGTACTTATACATGTCGTTCTGCACTTACATTTACTGCCAGCGAATCGCAGTTTCTTGTTCATAAAGGTTGACAAGCTTGACTCGCAAGCTGCTCCCGAAAGAAAGTGTGTGTCTCGGACATGCAAACAGAGTCCCGGTGCGTTGGAAAGTCAATCAGGTCCTGGCGCCATCAGATTCATTAAGTTGAGCTTCTCAGGTGTTTTGTCCGGCCAACTACCACCAATCGGTTGCATATAATTCCAGTCAATTGACCTCTAGATGTAATGGAAACCTTTCTTTTCCAAGATTCCATGAAACGGGAGAAGCGAAGATACTTCTTTTACGACCCTCGCTGCAAGAGACTTTTCAAATATGGCACTGATTGGACGTTTGAGAAGTCCTTGCAAACAGCTATCTGGTGGCTGAGTTGTTTCGGCCTTCACTATCTCATTCACAATCTTCCACGCCGTAAACCGCAAGATCCCGAAAACCTGGTGGTTCTGCATTTAAGCCTCTGTATGACTGCACGGGGCCTAGTTGAGTCCACAATCTGAATCACAGATTGGCGAAGCATTTTCACCACCACTTGATACTGCAGTTTGTACGTCTTAGGGTCCCCTCTGATAGGGAAGTCAGGGGTCGGAGGCACTCAGAGGCACTCAGGTTCGACCTGGTGGCTCTTTAGAGCATTGTCTTCTTGCACAGCGAGCAAGTTGAAGATTTGTCTGGGCGAAGAGATTTGGGGGCATTTGCAATCTTGGCGTTACCTTACCACCAGCCTTTTCCAGAGTTAATGCTTGTAACACTTCTTCGGTGTATGATTTTTGGCTATTTGTATTTCTTGTTGCGTTGCTGCCGGCTCCCCCTTTTATTATGTGAACATATAAAGTCTTCGTTCTCATGCTCCAGGAGGTTTCTATGTCTGCATCCGAGAGCCAAACCAATGGGTCTGCTTCAAGCTTCAAATATTCTCTGCTCCACTAGCATAGATGGGTGTAGCCTTGAAGAGCCGCCAGACCTGGTCGAGCCTCGCAATCCTGGTCAAGCAAACATTAAACTCGTTAATCATTTCGCTTGTATTGCGCAGGAGACGTTGACCGCCTCAAGTACTTGCTCCACGAGGAGGGGGTGGATATCAACGCCCGCGACAAGTGGGACAGCACCCCCCTCTACTACGCCTGCCTCGCCGGCCATGAAGACATAACAATGATCTTGTTGGAGGCGGGGGCTGTCTGTAGCGAGTGAGCTGCCCTTCGTTTCTCCTCGCTAATCCAGGGCTGTTCCGTTTGTGATCAATATACTCGGCCCAAGTGAGCCGCACCGGTCTTTTCTTCCCTTCTGAGTTGTTTATTCTTCTTCTTCTTCATTCACTTCGGACGAAGCGTTTTGCATCGTAAAGTGTGCCCAAATCTCGTCTGATCGAGGACATTAATTTTCAGGTAATCACGGGCTGTCGCGCCAACACTGTTGCAATACCTGCTTTGATGGCGCTGCAAAGGTTTTCGTTGAGACGACTGTCGTATCCGCATGCCAGCTGGTCGGTTGCAGAAATTCTTCAACTGTTTTCGACCTGGACAGCAACTGTCCAATCGACGACTAAGATACCCCACTTCCTCCTAGGACAACGCTTTGAAATATCCACAAAAGGTGCACGAGATTTGACGAACAAAGTTGAGAACCTAAACCCAACTGAAAACTACACCCGAAAATCAACCTCTGCACTCATGCGTACTCAAAACCCCAATAATAAACCCACCCGTCTCAGGGAGGCTCTTTAATCGTGATATTTGCGGTCGAGATAATCAACGTAGAGTCTCCTCCCCCCAGGTACACATTTGACGGCGACCGCTGCCACTACGCTGCCCTCAACCTGCGCATCCGCGAGATTCTGAAAGCCTACGAGCAGCGCCCCCCTCCCCTGGACCCTCTACAACTAGACCTCCGGGAATGCTTCCCCCCCGAGGGGGATCCCTGTTGGCCGCCCGACATCACGTTCTCGTTCCTCGGGTCAGATCGCACTGTCGGCGCACACCGCGCGATCCTGGCCGCTCGTTCCCCGTATTTCTCGGCGGCTTTTGCGGGCAAGTGGCGGGGGCGAGACGAGGTTAGATTAGCGAGCCCGCGGTTAAGTTACTCGGCGCTGGTGTCGCTGTTCCAGTTCTTCTACACGGACCGGTTAGACGTGGCGGTGGACGAAATGGAGGACCTCGCGCGGATCTGTCGACAGTGCCGGCTGCCGGAGCTGCGGGAGAAACTAGAGGCGGAGAAGAACCACCAAAAGTACTCCGACATGAAGTGGCACCGCCTGCACCAGAACCTGCAGCGCCGATTCGTGCTTCAGGTATGCACCGGCAGGCAGCCTGGTATGGACCGCTTATGGGTCTACCGCGGATTGGTACTTGCATTGCATTTCTGCGCGTCATTTTCCTTGTGCAAACCCATCTTTTGGTTGTGATTAGTCTACTCATGGGTCCTTCGATTGTTACGAGACAAACTTTACAGAGTCAAAGCACGTGAGCTCTGGAACTTACCAGTTGTACTGATATCCTAAGATGCACCTCTCATCATCCAGAGAGATCACATGGACACGTGGCAGGCTGGATAACGTTTTGCCAAGCCTTTGCGACCAACAATTGCACGGCCTTTCTGTGCAGGCGTCCTCCCTTTCCGAGCCCGCCCGCTTGAACGCCTGCCTGGGCAACATCCTCCGTCGCACTGGCGGGCTCGCAGCAACTTCTGACGTCATCACTGACCGAGTGGGCGACCTCGACTTCTCCGACGCTGCCACGCCATCATCTTCCCGCGACGACTTTGCCGATGTCATCCTGGCAACGGGCGCGGCCCGCAAATTCCGGGCGCACAAAGTGGTTCTCGCCGCGCGCTCTGAGTACTTTCGTGCGCGGCTCAGCCGCACCGAGGGGTTTAAGGAGGGGTTAGTCCCTGACCCGGACGGGTCAACGTTGCCCGTCTTGACACTGAATGACGTCAGCCCCGAGGCGCTCGAGACGGTGTTCGAGTACATGTACACAGACAGGGTGACGTCAGTGGATCCGGGTTTGGTGGTGGAAGTTTTAGACGCGGCGTCGCAGTTTCTGCTGTTTCCGCTGAAGCGTGCCGTGGCCGATGCGCTGCTGCCGGGGTTAGAGGCGGCGAATGTGGACGAGCTGTGCCACTGGCTCTTGGTCGCCGACATGTGAGTGGGCAACCCTATCTGTCTCGATCGTGCTGGCACACTTCCAACGTAGAGAACCTTGCTATATCTACCACCCTTTGGGATTTTAAAATGTCCAGGAAGCGCAGACAACGCACTGTCGAAAAGGGGCAAAGGCGGGCTATTGAACCAGTCAACTTTTGTCGCCGACTTTGAAGCGACAGCTAGTGGCCAATGCTTTCGGTGCCGGCTGGGTCTTCGACGGACTCGTTCGTGCAATGCGCAGTGCTTCTCTTCGTTCACACGACGAGCTTGGCACTGGAAAGCAAAGATTCAATGGAGCAAACTGAGGAGATAGCTTTGATTGATCAAATCAATGTGGGGCTCACGATTGCAGCAGAAGGATCTGTAAAGCTACGAGTGGTAGTGCAGAAAGTCCCGAGGTCCTCAACTTGATGAGCGAAGCTTCGCCGCGATATCTCAAAGGACGCCCCCAACCTACGTGTCCGCTCCAAATCGATACCCGTTTGGGAGAAAAGGATGCGCAACGGCTGTGGTTTCAACTGTTGGCCCCCTGCTTTTTACTTCCGCCCAATCTTGTGAGCTTTTTGCTTGTGTGCCTCAAGTCATGGCCTGCGTACTTGCGGGAATCCGCCTTCCTGGCACTCAGTTATATCCATTATTACTCAGGTACGGCGTCGCACGGTTACGAGAGTTTTGCCTCAACGCTATGGCGAACAACTTTGAGGCGTTTGCCTCAAGCGCAGCTTTCCAGGCCATGGTTAAGGAGCTGCCGCCGCTAACCGAGTTCGTTGACGCAACGATCCGGCCGAACAAGCCGGAAGTGGCGGTGCCACGAGGAACGGAAGAGCGGAACGAGGAGAGCACGAATGTACTGGAGGACTTGCGGGAGAAGTGGTTGGAGTTTGAGGGGGGCGAACTAGAGGAGCGGGACAAGCACGCAGCCGAGTTCGATCGGCGGATGACCGATTTGAGAAACATGGACCCCAGAGAACCTTCAGATTTTTCCAGTGCTGATTGATAGAGTGTGTACCTGGGTTTGTTGCTTGAATTGAATCCATTGCATGCTGGCCGAGCGCGCTGAAGGTAGATGAAGCCTTGAAGCTGCCATATTCTGAAACGGCTGCGAAGCTGGCCCCCCCACTTTTCGATTCAACCGTCCTGCATGGGACTATCATCCTTAGTATGTTGCATGCTGCACATACCGGTACGTGCAGCCGGGCCCAGCGCGGCTGCGCCCCGCATATATCCTTGAGGTCACTGAGTCCGACCTGGCAACGACCGTAAGTTAAGCATGAGAGCTTTTAATATCATACCATTGAATTCAATGATGCCGGTGGGCCATCATGCCATGCGTCCTGCTTGGCGGGCGCGGCCCTCATGCACTGCTGGCCATGGCCATGATGATTCGACGGCGTTAAGTTCGGAACCACCGTTACATGATGTATGCAATATGAATTCTGTAGCTTTGGTATAACCTAATTAAGGTGCTGCACATATTTCGGCTGCGCGGCAGGCGGCGGCCGGGCCATGCACGCCTTTAGGCCATGCATCAAATTGCGTTGATTACAGTGGCAGGGATTGAGCTGCGCACATGCATCGTAATCGAAGATCGCGCATATATGCTGCCACATGGCGGCTGTTGTGCAATCATGGCATGGCGGCCAGCTAGTGCCTGGAATCAAGCCTTATAACTGTCGATCGAATGAAGCCTATCATGAGAGTATACCTACGGCCTGACTAACTTCTTAAGATCGAGATTATGGGCGCGCCGCACATTCTCATGCCTGATTAACTGATACTATGCTGTTGCACGGTGTAAGCATTTTCAAAATCCTGGAATTGCTGCCACTTCGATGGAAGGTCGCAATTGAGTTGCTCTTCCCTCAGTCACCTATGCTCTAGCTATGCTTTGTACAGAGGAAAATTGCACGTATCTTCTTGTCCGAAACTTAGGCCGGGTCTCTCAGTCACTTACATGACACTCACGGAATCTAGGGCTTGCCCCAACTAGGAAATGAATCCTGATCCAGGTGTGCGCAGCTTCACTGTTTTCTTTACCGTCATCACCAATCGGTCCCGATGCCTTTGTCTACGTAGAGGCTGATCACGTATTTGATGACGGGGTCCGAATCGTTGACAAACTCTTGAGCGTAGGGCCGCCAGGAAAATTCTGCAGAGGGAAGCTACGTCAGTTTGCGCCGAACAGCAACATGGGAGGCGAAAGCCCAGTCACAGACGCATTCCGTGTCAGTCTGAAGTAAGCAAACACATTTGACAGCAGCCACTGCGGAAGTCCGCTGAGTCCTTTGCCGGCTGGAACGAACCTGGAAGCTGGAACATTCAGAGGCTGTCTTGGCACGCCCCTCAGAATCTGACCAAAACCAATCCGCAAGTTCCCGACTGAGCTTGACGAACCGCACGTGCAGCCGGCCGCACCACGCACTCATCCAACTTCAATTGCCGCCACCGATGTTCGCCCCTGATTGTTGCGGATCCCGAAAAGCGAGCCTGACAAAATTCTCTCAAAGCAGACTAAATCGCACGGGAATGTAGGGCACCGGTTTCGAACCTGACACCCTCACGGTTTCAAAGCTTGACTCGACTCCACCCTTGTCCAACTGCTTTCGCTGCTTGGCAGAGCTTCCCTAAAAAGCAGCATATCAGACAGAAGTATTCCCGCTCAAAGTTGCTTGTTCAATGATCCAGGTGCGAAACTCAAAGTTTGAAGCCACGTTAAGTTCGAACAAGGACTCCGAAACAGTGCGATTTGCGCCCGCTCACCGTCCTCCCCGACCCGCGCTAGGAACTTTTCTCTGCTGGGCAGCGTGTACAGGCTCGCGCGCACCGCCTGCCGGATCGCCCAAGAGTGGTGCGGCGCCAGCGCCTGCTCGTACGCCTTCGACGCGGCCTCCTTCAGGCTGACGCCACTGCAACGAACAAGATGGGAAAACCTTACCAACGGAAACTACTTGTTTGCGTAAGGAAGTAGGTAGTCTTACTGTGAAGGTTCTATTTCTGGGGTGCTGGAAAGTCTCGTTCCAAAATACGCCTTCGACCCGGCCTCCGTCAGGCTGCCGCCACTGCAACAAATGATGGAGGCAAAACATTGGGTACTGGAAAAGTACTTCGCACTAGTAAATAACTTTCCGTCGGGAGAACGTGCAAGAATTCTCTTCTGCATGCTTGACGCCTTCGACGCGGCCTCCTTCAGGCGAACGCCACTGCAACAATACAGAAGGCTGACGCCACTGCAACTACAACGCGGAAAGGGAACAGTTGAACATTAAAAGGAAGTTCTTGGTTGGAAGACCGCACCGTTGAAAATGTTGAGACTGGAAGGGACTTGTTCGAAGGAAAAGTGAGCGCTTTTTCGGGTAGTAAATGGTGCAGGAACCCCGCTCTTCTGCCCAAAGGCTTTCGAAGCGGCCTTCTTCAGGCTGACAAACTGCAACAAAGAAGATTGAAAGAACGAAGATTATCTGTTTGAGTAAAGAGGCAAGTCCATTTGTTGGGGTACTGTTAAGGTACTAATTCTGGGGTGATGAAAAGTCTCGTTCAAAAGACGCCTTCGACGCGGCCTCCTTCAGGCTGACGCCACTGCAATAAAGCAGAATGGAAAACGTTTTTACTGGAAGGAACTTGTTTGAAGGGAGTAACTGCTCTTGTTGGTACTCTTTTAAGGTGCTATGTCTGGGGTATTGAATAGTCTCGTCGGGAAACACGCCTTCGAGGCGGCCTCCTTCAGGCTAACGCCACTGAGACATGTAGATTGGAGAACTCAGAAATTGCAATGATTATGTTCGTATTAAGGGGGCTCTTGCTGGATAGAAAGGTGCTCGCCGTTCGCATTCGACGCACCCTGAGGGTACTCCACCACTCGCTACGGTTGTTCGTAGAGACTCGAGAGTGAATGGGTTATGAATAAGTGCGAGGATCCCGCTCGGTTTGACGCGGTTTCCGGCAGGCAGACGCCGCCGCAAGAAAAGAGAGTGGAAAGATCAAGTAAGAAACTCGTCGGTAGGAAAAGTATACGCTCGATGTGGCGATGAATAGTAGCAAAAGCAATTGCTCTGTATGCCCATCCGCTTATGATGCGGCATCCTTCAGGCTGACGCCACTGCAACAAAACAGAGCGGAAAACATAATATACTGGTCGGAGTTGTTCGAAGTATGCGCTATTTTGGGGACTCTAAAAGGTGCAAGATCCCACTCTCTGTAATCAATCAACACAGCCCCGTTCGTGTTCATGCTGTTACGCCAAGAGGAGCTGATGGGCGGTAAGGGCGGGCCCGAAAGAATCTTAGCTTCTCGGAGGAGCGCAGTCATCTTTCCGAGCGAGACTCATCATCAGACTCATCATCAGATTTGTAGGCCTTGGATGCGGACTTCGTCAGGCTGACACCGCAAACCGGGGAAGCATAGCGGGTTATTGTTGGGTGGGTGAGGATCGATTGTAAGTTTTATTACGAGCAGTGAGCGTTTGCCAGAAGACAGGAAGGCAACGTGAAAGTTTCGCTGTGTGTCCTCGTGGGCCGTCACGCTGACGCCACTGCACATGTAAACACAGTGGGCGGTCAAAGTAGGTGTTTCTGAGGACTGAGATGCAGGCTCTTTGCAGGAAGAGTGTTCAATATTCAACCTGGAGTTCCCAAGAGCGTTGCATGTTGTGTGCTTCGAATAACCGATGCGGCCTCCTTCAACCTGACGCTACTATGCAAGACGGAGAGTAGAAAAAGAGGGGCGGTGTTTCTGTGCCCTTGTAAGAAAACCTGGTTATAAGTGATGCATGGAAACTTTGCCGTTGAAGGCCGAAGGCCGAAGGCGGACCCGTTTTGGAGATCGAACTGACATGAGTATCAAAAGATTTTGCATCTATGCAACCATGGACAGCTTACAGCATCGTTCGGCGGGTTCAGGCGACAAAAGGAAATGGAACGAAAGCGAACGAACTGACATTGTTCTCCCTGAAGAGCAGGTGTTCCAGAAAAGGCAGTGTCACGACACAAAAAAGGAGGTGCAAATCGGAGGAAACAGAAGGAAAAGCACGGAAGAAAAGGCCTCGTAACGGAACCAAGCACCTGAGCCCAAAATCCACGAAAAGAGTCCAGGAAAAAGCGGCTTCCGACACGAACCGAAACGCGCCGCTCACTCGCTCGAGAGTAGGTGCTCAAAAAGCAGCCGGATCATGTTGATCCCGCGCGTGACGCGCAGCAGGTTGCGCGTGTGGCTCCCAGGCTCGCGCACGGTGCCGGCCTTGATGTCCGCGTCCAGGATGTCTTCCAGAGTGGGCAGGTCCTTCGCGCACTCCTTCAGGTCCTCTACCTGCGAAGCAGGATATGGAGATTTCTGTTTAGAGAGGGCAATTTCGAAAACGGAACGGTATGGGGTCACAAGGCGATGGAGAACTTCACAAGTTTGTTCCAATTGGCGCCAAGGAGACTGGTGCTGATGTTTGCTTACATGAGCGCTTTTAGTGACCAGTTGACGATACGTTGTGCAGAGACTATCTTCGCGAGTCAAGGCTGGTTAACCTGAACAGGCTGCTTCATGGCGTTGGAAGGAGAGGTCGAAATGGACTTTCGAGTCTGAGATAAAGTCTGAAGAAAGATCCTCACAGGGAAGGGGGCTGAACGGCGCCAGCGAAGCCTGACATGATGTTGAGTGTGCGCTTAGACAGGTCGTGCATCTGGATGATACTTTCCAAGGGACAGAGCCGACATGAGGATGGAGGACAAAGAACTAATTTGAGGATGCTGTCGACAAGAGTTCGACATATCTGATTGAGATGCGTCCATATAAGGGCCTATTCGAATGATAGAGAACAGTGCGGGTATCTCTGTCTGCCGGACTCACAAAAATAAAAGACACAAAACGATAGTAGAGGAGGACTGAGTTGAACTGGATTGGGAGGGTGAGGATGCCAAACTACTGTAGTCAATCTGGGGCACAACCCGATATTTGAGAGTAGCCATTGTACATCAAGCTGGACGGTATGCCATAAGAACGGCCAATGTGGCACACAAGACAGGGGACTACTCATTGCACGCTAAACCAGATATCGTGCCAATCTAGAATTGTGATAAGATGCCACTCGAAATTCAGACAGACCTCCTGGAACCTGTCCAGAAGTGTGGACGCCAGACAACATATGATGGCCCCATCAACCTCACAAGAACTTTCTGGTGTTGACCTCCCGAGATTTTGACCAACCAATCGCCCCTTGAACTTACGGGTAAGCAACAATGGTGTTTGTTAGGCATGAATTATTACAAAAGCATGCACAAACTCCCCACCCCTGGTTTGACTCAATTTGCAACATGCGCCAGCGATGGCCGCAGGGGGTTACGCACTACAACGAGCCGTCGTATTCTACTCAAAGTTTTGAATGGGGCAAGTCAAAACGATACTTCATAGTAGCCCTCTAGATAGACGCATTGAGCTCCCTCATTCAACCATCACTGAACAATGAACGCTTTGAAAAAGCCAGAAGATGACATCCAGAAGACCATATTATCCTATCTGGCTCACATTCATACCTTTGATGCAGTTGAAGGACTGCTGCACAACAAAAAGTTTCTCACCTTTGTGACAAAGTCATCCCTTGCGAACTTGAACGCCATCCCAAGGTGGCCAAAGATTGGGTTGATCTTATCGCACGCTGCCGCAAACGCGGCAGTCGGCACCTCAGCATTCTGCTTGATGAGGTCAGCGACACCCTTGAACGCCAGCCCGAGTTCCGGCAGCACCTTTCCTTCCCCTGGCCCGCTCATGGTTGCGACAGCGCCACCACTTGCTGATGTCAGTGGCAGGCGGCCCGCAAGGGAGTAAGGTTTGATGAGGGTTCCCTTGCGACTACTGTGCTTGCATTGAATCAATCCAGTAGGGAGCTCCTAAGTTCTGAGTGGTGGTGCTGATTGAAAGCTACACAAAACGCAAAGGTCAACGCCCTGACATTCCCCAGGCCAATCTGCAAGGTCGTCTTCTGTCGACGAAGCAAGCTGCATTCAGTCAACCAATGCCCCCTTCTGCGATCAACTTTGATGACTGGATGCCCTTTCGCTCTGGCTGTCCCACTACCTGTCTATCGTCCTGGTTGAGACGATTCTATGCAAGGGACTGCGGGGCCTTGCTGGTATGTGCTGCTGCATGCAAGCTGTCCAACGTCCGCCATGGATGCATTATTTGCCATCATGCATCGCTTGGCATGCGCGAATCGTTCGTTCATGAGCAGGCTCGTCTTGACAATGAAGTTGAAGTTGAACTCGGAAGTTTTGAGCTGTGCTGAGCACGCTGCACAATCACAGCACAGTGTCTTGAAATTTGAAAGCATCATGAGGTGTTCACTGTTCATCATGTGAGCTTGCAGTCTTCTTGGACAGGACTTGTGCCAGAACTTGGCACTAGTTAAACTTCGACGCTGAACTTTAGATTAATTCCAGCCGTCATCATTGAAACACAGTCGCATCGCACGGTGTGGATGGCCCAAGAGTAAGACTGGCCGCCAGACTGAAATCCGGAGCACTCGGGCTTCAAAGTTCAAGAAGGTGACGATCGAAGGGATTGCGGAAGGTGAGGCGCAAGGGGAGGCGGTCTTGTTTTGTGGCAGCTGGTTGATCGCTTGGGCCGGTTCTTGAGGAATCTTTCGCCTCATCAATCTTGTGTCGTTGAGGTGGCAAAGATAGCCGACGTTTGTGGGTAGTGTAGGAACAGCTTCGGCAGTACATTTGGGACCACAAAGATGGCGACCGTGGGGCTTGTCAGCCGGTCGTCCACGTTGAGCAGAGGCGCCGTCCAGACGGGTGCACAACTGAAGGTGAGGTGCTATTTAGCGCAAGACGATGCGTGGTACTTGAGCTCATTCTGACGTTAAGGCGGTGCTTTTGGCGGATAGGGTTTATGTGGAACCCTCTGCATTGGCGTGGTCACACCAACACCCGTTAAAAGGGAGTCAGCAAGCAGATGCGTTGTTCGGTTGGTATGGACAGTGGAAGGTACTCTGCAGCTGTAGATAGCTCAAGCTGGAAAAGAAAGAGATCAGGTTGACCATTACCAAAATGGAGCAATGTGCCTTGAAAATAGCTGCCTATCAGTAACCGCCATAAGGTATTACAAGAAGCAGATTCATGGGCTCTGGTAATGCTTGTGAGGGGATGCATTAGGGGCAAGTTTTTGGTCCTCTCTGGTGCATTTTCACAGGAAGGGTGTGGGCGAGCTGCTGTGACAATCTTCTAGTAGGATACGGCCCAAACTTTAGTTGGCACGTGATGCTGTCTGCTCGCCACCTAGGTTGGCCGATCGGAGGCTAGGTAACCAGGGTCTTTTCAAAGGGTTTCTATCAACGTCAATTTTATCTGCAAGGATTCTAGGCTCCTTCGGCTCTCTCGTGATCGACATCATGGATATGAAGGGATTGGTTTGAGGACTCAGCGTAGCGGCTATCCCAGATAGCTCGCCGGCAGATTAAAGGAAAGGCTTATCTCTGTTGTCCCCAATTCGAATGAGCCAAAGCAGCAGCATTCCAGGTTTGAAGCAACGCCAGTGGAATGCTGTGAAGAACAGGCTCATATACTTGAAGAGGCAATGAAGATAGAGATTGGTTGCAGTTGACGTCTTGAGTGCCCCGTGCCCGCTGCTCAACATGAATGGCCATTGCAACTCTCACACGGACCCTGGCTTGAAGGCTTCCAATTTGGCTGGGACCCTTCCGGAGACGTTTTCTGGCACTCTCATGTTGATACTCCAGAGAACAATCCTGTCGCTAGGGGCCATGGATGTATAGCCAGGACTTGGTTTTTTTCCTGCTGGCAGTTAATCACCATTCTGCAAGTCAAAGGCTTTGGATCAGCTTCTTCCAGGGTTTGGCAGACAAAATTTGGGAATCGTCTGTGAGAGTCGGACGTGGTCGTAGCTTCATAGATTGCTCACTCGTATCTTCGGGGTATATGACGGCGTTTTACTGGGTATCTGTATTGGCTTTAAGCTGAGTACTTGTTTTCTTTATTTGGTGTCCTTCAAGGATTATGAGGAGACTTGCCCACCCCTGGTTTCAGCGCTTAGAGAGAGTCATAGTCCACCTCGTTGACGCAACCAACGGAAGCAGTAGTCGTTTTGCACATCACAACCTAACCTTTTGGTGCCAACTCTGCAGAGTGTGCCGTTGAGCAATGGCGCCCCGTGCACCCCTTTCCTCCCCAGCAGCCGGTCGCTGTGCAAAGTGCCGATGGCAGCGAGAGCCGCCAGGGCGGGAGTAACAATGGCAGTTGCTGAAGCAGAACCCGGTGGGTTTCTACGTCCCTTTGTTCTTTTGTGCAACTTCTTTTGGAAGTTGGGTGCGTTACTGCCCCGGGATGAGATGAGCAGAAGTGGTCCTGCTTTTCTGATACCAGACCTTCTTCCCCTCGTAAGTAACCGTTGAACCTGCTGGAGACGCAACTTGAAGCCACTGCTCTTTGGGAAGTTGGCAGCAGCAGACTGGTGGCCAGTCCTCAGAGTAAGCTTGGCTAGGTTGAGGTGAGAGCTGAGCAGGATAGGCGGACTGCATTCATCATTTTGAAAAAGCAATCACATGATCGCGCAAGTTGGGATACATCAATTTGGTGACGTGCTTTGCTGCCTGAAATATTTGGAGCCATGTTTTCAGTGGCAGAATCTACAAGGCCAGCATTTGGAGCTGCAGGAATGCTTTGCAGGTGTCTCGAGCTTGCCAGAGCAAGCGGAGGTTCCTCAGGGGCATCCCTCTGAAGACAAGTTGACGCTCAAAAAAATGCATGTACTCTGGTCATTGCAAAGGCATCAAAGTGTTGAACCAATCTTTTAACGTTCCTTCGCAGAGATCGAGCGGTTTCGGTTGAACAACTTGAAGCCCCAGCCTGGTTCTCGGAAGCGCAAGACCCGCAAGGGGCGTGGTATTGCAGCGGGGCAGGGCGCGAGCTGCGGGTTCGGTATGAGGGGACAGAAGTCGCGGTCGGGCTCGGGAACCAGGCCCGGTTTCGAGGGAGGTCAAATGCCGCTGTACCGGAGGCTGCCAAAGCTGCGGGGTATTGCTGGAGGTGCGTGTCGAAGTCTGGTAGAAGCTCGAACTTTCTCCCTGCCTCCAGGCTTTCGGCTTGAAACTCGCGACTCTTGAAGGCAGTGCCTTTCAACGTGTCATGTAAGCCCCAACGTTGGGATGTTACCCGAGGTCGGTACACTTAGAAGCGTGGAATTTTACCTCGCCTCTGTTTTAATGCTACACAAGAGTCGCTTCCGGCCCTCGCAGCATCGAGCTTTCTCGCTTTATCTCATCATTTGCGCCCTCGTGTACTGCTGTGGCTCTCCAATCACGGACTTCGCTGGGGCGCAATCTGCTGAAAGTCAGAAGGTGCCAGGTGGACGCTGGGCGCTCAATATTGCGGTCTGATCTTGCCAAGCTTTTGCTTTGCTGAACGGGTTCGAAAGCTTGGTCAGAGTGTCGGATCGAGTCCTGGTCTGCTCCAAAGACACAGTGCTTCCTAGCTCGTAGAACGACGAAGCCTGCCTCTCTGCTAAGATAGCCGTAGCCGCCCCTTCCGTACTTCTTTTGGAGAATCCAAGTCCGTGCATCGCACAGCCCCTCTGGCTGATTTTAAAGGACCATGTCTTTGTTGCAGGTATGCCCAAGGGTCGGACCACGCATGTGGCCGTCAACTTAGAAGATATCGTTGCCCGCGGCCTGGCCGTGAATGGCGGGCAGATCTCTCGGGAGAGCCTTATTGCCAACGGCCTGATCAAGCCGTCTGGAAAGGAGCGCAAGCTTCCCCTAAAGGTGGGCCTGCTTTGTTGTCGTCCTGTGCGTTAATTGTCAGCGCAGCGGATCTGGCTAATTGCTGCGTGCACAATGACTGTGCCTTTCGCTGTTGGTCAATTGTGATGTTTGATATGTGATTTTCGCAGTATGTCTTGTGTTACCTGTTACGTTGGTTGAAGCCCCGATTCTGACAACGCTTCGAAATTGGACCTGTTCAACGGTGCTCTTCTGCCAGAAGCTGAACCATTGCGACAGAGAACGGCTCTCGTTGTTTCCTAGCGGAAGCCCAGGCTAATTTGCAAGTGCAGTAGCCCGTTGCAGAAGATTGGCAAGGAGGTCCTTTTCTGTTTTTTAGTCAACGTTGTAGAATGAAAGGGCCGTTCTTCATTCTTTTGGTTGCTTTGCGCGTCGACTGACTTTGCTCCTTCACGAGCAGTGTCCGCCCCCTCTTTCTCTGTTATCAGGTCGGCAGTCCATCCCTTACTTAATACAACTGGCGTATCTCTTGCAGGTGTTGGGTGACGGTGACTTGACAGAGAGCTTCACCATTGAGGCGGGTTCCTTCTCGAAGACCGCCAAGGCGAAGCTCGAGGCAGCGGGTTGCAACGTTGTGCAACTGCCTGGAAAGGTTAAGTGGACGAAGAAGGCGTACTTCAAGAAGTTGCGGTATGAGGAAATGTTGAAGAACAAGGCAAAGGCGAAAGACGCATAGGTACTCGGAAGGGATAAGGTTGGAGTTATTGGTGGTACTTTTGTGAATCTCGAAGACAGCCTCCTTTTAATTGTGACATCTCAAACGGTTCTCTTAACAACGGGATGCAAACGATGGAGCTTTCGATTGGTGCATCTGAATCCATGACGCTTGCCAGCCTGGATCATGAATCTTACATTGCTGGTGGACGTGCATGTGGCAAAGATGAGGCCAAATTTTGAGTCATGCGGCTCGGTTGCAATCTGTCAGCGCGACCTGCAATCTGGATTATAAGTTGGAAAGTCGGTACGAAATGGCCGTGGTACAAGTCAAAATCAAGGCGCGCCATGCACTTATGTGTTTTGGAGCACAACGGCGATCCGCCTCAAGCCCGGCCCAAGCATCGATCAAGAGAAATATGCGCACGTATAGCCGAAATCATTCAACTCTACTATAATCAACATGCAGCATGACATGCATGTCAGTGCAGTATTTGCACTGCAGCACGTCTTAATGAATCTCGCGATTGGAGTGTGCGCATGCACATGGTTTTCTTTCACCATAATGGCACGCCGCGAACGGACCTTCTGAGATACTCGACATACAATCCTAAGTCTGGTTGGCCGGACACGTGACAGCTACAGTAGCTAGTTGAAACCGGAACACCTCATGTTGTGATCCCATGTTGTGGCACTGCATGTTGAATCTGCAATTGATGTTGCGCATGATCGGATCATTTGGTCAAGAGTGTCCGCGTCGAGCTCTTGGCACAATTGCGCGCGTGCAGCAGACATGTATGTGCTGATTGGAATAATTGGACGGTATTGCCAGAGACCGTCGTAGCTAGGCTAGATGGAGATCCAAAGAACGTTCATGCAGAACCAACCGGAACCGCACAGAATTCGCGTCACTAGCATCAGTTATTTGCAGTTTTCGCGCGACCGAGCTAGCTTCGTCCTTTGAAGGATCTAGCGTCACCGTACGAAGACCGCGTGGGCCATCGCCATGCCGGACGCGAAACCAAATCGAGTATCTTGTCCAAAACCAGGTTGCGCGGAGACGGACCGGGTTTCACTCATGCACAAATGTACAAATGAGGGCGTCGGAATCTTGTAAAGTGACTGGCCCTCGCCCCTTTAACTCCTGGGATCCGAGTATATTTGCTATAGAGTAATGCAACAGCGAAATGAACGGCACGCGAACGGGTTTCTAGCATTCAGGTCATCCGGAACAGGCTGCTGTCATTATTGCCGTTCCTCAGTTCGACTGTTTCGAAGCACAAACCAACTGCGCTTTGGTATTTCAACTGTGCTTCGGTATGCATAGAGCCAAAAAACCATGTACGCGGCCCCTCTGCTTCTCCGCACCAGATTTCACGAATGCACCACGCAAGACAATCCACCCATATAAGTCGACCATTCCGAGAAGATATGGTCGTGGAGAGGGACCTGACGCCTTTGGGAAATCGATCTTTACACGGGTACTGATGAAAGATTCAATGGTCAGGCTGCCATGAAAAAGTGGCGAAGTTTCTGCTGATATCTCGAATTAGCTCGGATAATCAGTGAAAGGAGCTTGAGGCGTGCGGCTTTGCGCCTGCGTCTCATGTCAGCGCGGCGCTCTTTCCAGGTTGGTGTACTGCAGACAATACATGCATCACACTTGTAAAAAAAAATCCGCTGAACCGGCTGACGTGGGCGTCAGCGGTCAAGGCGTACGATTGTATCCTATCAGAGATATACGGTCAGTCTTACTCGACTGCTGTCAGTCGTGATGTATCTGGTTCAGTTGAAGAACAGAGGCAATGAACAACCGTCCGCAAAGCCGGCAAGCTTCCGATGCATAGAAGAGGATTTAACCAAGACGCTCCCGGCAAGACTTTCATCACGTCAAGACCCGTTCAAACGTGAGGGACGACCAGCACAATCGAGCGCTTGTTGTTGATGTAACGGGAGGTACTTATGAGTTGCTGGTTCGGAAAATTACAAGCGTCCTGGCCTTGCTGGCGGCTTCAGCAAACGGCGGAGGGGAATAGCAGCAAGTGTCCTACACAAACGAAAGGTCCTTCAGCAAGCGCGTGCGGAAGAGTCGCGAATACTTTAGAGACACTCGGGCTCTTCTTCCTAAGGGGCTACCCAATTTTGACTCGGACCTTACAATAGCGCGTCACGCTGTCGCTGATTCAATCAAGGCTTCCCTACCGGCGTCCTACCTAGCTTGGCAGTCCGGTGGCGGATTGAAAAAGCTTGTGCGAGCATTCTAATGGTTGATGTCTTCGAGCTGCCCTCGCCATGGCAAGCGAGGGGAAAGCAGCGGCTGCCGCCCAATCATCGGTTGACAGTTGTCCGGTCTTCGTTACAGTGCAACGGGGATGTGGGCAGGCTTTGCCCAAGATGCTTGTAGGTCAAGTAGTTTTGAACGGTTCGGACCCGCTCTTTCATAGCCGCAACCTATACGGGGAAAGGAAGGATCTGGATTCATGGGTTGTAGTGGCGAATTTGTAAAGGCTTTACAATCTGGTTCTTTCCTTTCAGGCTGACAAGTGGATCATGCTCTCAGTTGTCTCGGGGCTTCCCTTTTTCACACGGTGGTCGAGAACCCGAGTCTGCCAACCGCCGTTGTCATCTTCAAAGCTGGACTTAGTTGGTAGAACACCGCTGATCGAAAAGTATCACGAAAAGTAGCAGCCAATTTCCTAGTGAGTTGGACGACCAACAAGATTCAAATGGGCTGTATCGGAACCTCGTTTGCAACGTCCATTTGGTCGGCGGAGGATCCTACCTCCTTCTCCAAGGCAGCCATCTCCCTGTGCCATTCTTCCCGTTGGCGGGCCCTTCTGTCCTCCTGGAAAGCAATACAGCCCCGTATTTAACGGGGATAGAATGGAAGAGCGCTTTAGCTTTTGTATGCTTCACTTTGCACGCTTATTTCAGATATTTGTCGCATTGATGAAGTGGCGCGGCGCGCCGCGAAAGACCCAAAAGCGGAAGCGACGGTTCAAGCGACAAAATTCACTAGGAGTTCGCTACGGTGTACACTTACAAAGCTCGATCAAGAAATCCTCGAGCTCGCGATGTCAAACCTTTTGCACGCTTTGTCCTGAGTGCAATGGTTGGAATCTTTTACCTCGTCCATCAAGCGAAGCCTCTCCGCTGAGAGAGCTTCGCGTTGTCTGCAGTCGATCTGAGCCAGACTTTGAGCTGCATCCTCGTTGACAGCGACAGCAGTCTCACTAGACGGCAGCGCGCTGACGAAAGTAAAGTGACTGTCGACCTTTTTGGACCCCAAGTCTTGACGTGGCCGACAAATTTTCACCCTCGTCCATAGAGATTGCTGCAGACGCAAGGGACCGCTTTTGACCAAGCAAGTGGAGCTCAGGTTCGATCGATACTCTGCTCAGTGTAAAAGCATTGAGCCCAGGTACCCGAAATCTTCAAGCTCGAGGTGCAGACCCGTACAAAGGCGCTTTCGGTGAAGGAGTTTCCTGGTTTGTTTTCGACCAGATACACATTTGCATAGTACGGAAATCAACTAGCAGCAACCCTTCAACTGGCAAAGCGAGCAAAGGAACTCGTGCAATGGTCAGCGTGCTCTTAGTTTTTTTAATGCGTGTTACCAAGATTACCACGTGCAACCCAAACCTTTTCCATCTATGTTTTTTCCTAGAAACCATTTCAAACCTGCCTCTCAGCTTTTCTGGACCAACAGGAATGGGGCAGAGGTTTCGACAAGACTCAATGAGCTGCGTCGAGCGGAAGCCGGTAACAAAACAGCATACTCACCGCTGCACGCAGTGTCTTGCAATTCAGAACTGACTGCCAAACAGCGCGTCTGTAACCAGAAGCTCCGGCGGCTTACCAGATTAGAACCACTGGTGTGACATTGAACCGGGTGCACGCGTGTTGTACGTACTTGGCTTGGGTTGCGGGACAATGAGACAGTTCCCTTTCCGTGAACACTAAAGGAATGGTGCATCCCTCCATGCCGCGCAGGGTCAGGTTGCCACACGCTAAGGCCCACTTGTCTACAGCCAGCGCAGGCCGGCACATTATTCTGAACTTTTGCCATGTTCATTGGAAATAAGCAACACGGCATTGCAGCCTTGAGTGTAAATTTCCTTCTTCCTCCTCAACTGACATCAGCGCCTGCGAGCCGTGCATATTGCAACCCACGTAGCGCATACTCTAGCACTGGGCTTCGGGTGACTAGTGCTGTTGATTATCTGAGGCTTGGGCTTGTTTGCTTAGTAAGTATTGACCTCTAGTGAAAATGGTTGGGCGGGCCTCTTGTTTCGAATCGAACTAGAATCTGAGACTGATGCAAGAGTTGACAACGATACTGCTTGAAGTCGAGTTGTGAACTTGCCAGATGATACTCGGCAGGCTTGCTACCGCTGAGGGAGAAGTCACGTGAAGACCGGACCATGATATTATGATATTCGAGGTAGATAATGGATGCAATTACGTCATCATCCGGTGTGGCTAAAAGTGATCAACTACGCAAATTATGGATCAATGACGGTACATCCCTGAAGCAGATTAGCTAGCTGGGTGTTCTTTCGAATGATTTTTAGGTACAAGACAAGAGAATGACCTGCTACAAGGTAGTACGCGCTGCATACTGGCGAAGTCGACTCAGCCACTCGGGCGTTCTTGGGTTGGGGAATCATCGACTCCCTATACGTCGACCCGCCATCTCAATCTGCAAAGGCGGTACTTTGGCTGTGGCGTGCCGCTTTTTCAGCTCAGGAAATGTAGCTTTCCCGGGGTACACAGCAGAAACCAGCCCTGCAACTTCAAGCTGTAGTACTTCAGTCTGTAAGTACCTAGTGGGTACCTAGTAGTAAGGTCATAAATGGTAGAAAACACTGATGCACTGAGGCCTTCTGATCTGGAAACTCAGGAAAGGGTCAGTGTTGCAAAGTAGACCATGCAGGTCGGCCCGTCTTCAAACGTGGCAGGTTAAGGCAGGCCAAGAACGGAAGTTGATATACAGTCAGACATATGCGTCGTTGAAGGCCGTTTTAGCAACAGCTTGAGCTGGACAATCGGAGCTGATACGACTTGAGCTGCTGGAGCTGGATACAATTATGTAGGATATACAGTATCTTAGGATATAGTGAGGAGGTAGTGAGGAGCCCGGATTGCTATTCTAAATTGCATTAAAATGATGCAAAACAATGAAGCAAAAGGGAAGCGAAAGACAATATGCCCTCAGCTCTGATAGCTGCCAAAAACGTTTAACGAAGGAAAAGTTTGCCTGACTCAGAAGGGACCTTTGCAGGCCCAACCACACAAGCAGCTAAGCAGGAACGTCCGAAAATGCAGTCGTACCGAGCACATGTGACTACCAGTATGTCCGTATTCTCTGATTTCTCATGGAGTTTTGAGTCCACTTTCTCGCCTCGCCTGCCTCCAAGTCTGATCGAACATCCGCCTCCTGAGTGGTGAAATGCGCGCGTTCAGGTCTGTGGATTGCAAAAATTCAGACCGTGGCTACGGTCCGATCATCCATGCCCCAATCCACGGTTCAAAATCTTACCGCGTGATAGGCTCAAGAGTCAAAATGCATCCCTTTGATCCGCGTGGCTCGCAAATCTCGGGATTTGCTACATGATCCCCTCCAATCGTCCCATGTGGGAGCGGTGCGCAGCCTATCAGCAACCTCCCGAATCCCGTGCTTCGCTGTTCACAATTCGATTGCGTCCACGTGGCAACGTAGCACAATCTAAACAACCGACAATGATCGGATCGGTAAATCGTCCCTTGGACCTCACTAGTAGTACAGTTGTGCGCGCGCTGGGTCCAAAAAGTACAAGTAACGGTACTTAGGTACCTACTACGGTACTACCCCTTGATGGGCCTTTCGAGATTCGTGCGACCGCGTACCCGTACCAGTACGGTAGGCGTCGGTAGGCTGTAGCCCGGGCAAACAGGAGCCTGTCGATGAGTGTTTAGGTACTGTACCAAGGTACCGAGCGAGTACACATACCTACCTAGATCGAGAACTGAACTTTGAAGCGACGCGAACCTGGGTCCTGGATTTCACGCAGTGCCCTGTCCGCGGACCGCGGTACCGACCACATCCGCCAGTGATCTTCAGCATCGGACGTCCCCGGAATGCGGGACCCATGGCACAGCCAAATCAACCAGGCTGTATCCGTGGCGACAAGCATCGCTCCCCTTGAATCATTGTGGTCGCTTTTCGACACTGTTAGGCGACTGGTGAAAACAACCGCAGTCGCCCGGTACCTTGTCAGGTGGCAGCTAGGTACCTAGGTGGCAGCCTTCTTGCTCATGAGGGCTGCATGACTTGCAGATCTGCGAGGTCACCTTCGCGTACTGATCAAAGTCTGGTACGTACCGACAACCGTCTGCGGGCGCCGGATCGACGACTTAAAATCAATCCAGTCCGTCCGATGCAGACATCTAATCACAGGCGTCGGATACAGAGCTTGTTTGACTGGAAAACATTTACGCTTTTGGCAGCTCTGACGAAGTGCTTTTCCGACAGCAATCGACGGTACTCGTCGTCCACTCAGAAAAGATCGTAAGCATCTACGGCCAGCAAACTGATAAAGGAAAGATCTGCAAAAAGGGAGCACTTTTCAAACGTGACGTCAGTGCGAAAGCAGAAAGATCTTCTCGCAAGCCACCTTTCAAAGATTCATGATGGGCATTGATGGCCCTTTTGGTGAAGCCAGGGTGCATGTCCAGAGGAACCCGGAGAGTTGAACGTCGTGCAAGGCAGCAAGAAGGCTTGATTTCGTGAGAGGCTGAGGGCATCAAGCATTGGACAAGCGTTTAACGAAGGATCTGAAGGAAGGATTGAGAGTCGTTTGTAGAGCACGATTTCGCAGGTTGTTGAACGAGTTGCGATAAGCTGGAACTCAGCAAAGGAAGAAGTATATTTCGCGCACGACGAGGGGAAGGCCGCCTCTTCAGACACAGAGCTGAGATGACTTAGAAAGCAGGTCTTATTCTTGAATCGGATGGCAAAGCAAGGAGAGTCCGCAGGGAAGCGGGGGCCAGTGGAGGCGGCAGCCCTCTTTCCAAGGTTGCATGTGTCTCATGCAAAGAGGGATAATGGTCCAAGGCCCCCTCCAAGGAACAAGATGGCTTTGTATGAGCAAGTCACGCTGCAGGCCTCGCATCCAAAAGCTGCAGGAGCATCAGGAGCGTCAGCTCCTACCTCGCAAGATGAGGGACCAGGGGGCAGCGGGATGCAGGCCCCAAAAGCAAGAACACAACCAGATGGAAACCTTCCATCCATGGTGAGTGATAAACAGGAGGTTTGACTGGCTAATCTCTCCTGTCTTGCATTCAAGGTTGAAAGGGTCCCCAAAAGTTGACAAGCAGTTTCAGCATGTTGATGCTGCTCTAGATTCTCTGTTGAGGAGTCCTTGTCTGGGCAGACGAGTGTGTGACTAGCAGATTATTCCTCCCTTTCTGCATCTAGTATACTGGTGGAGGTTGGGTTGGTTAGATTCCGGTAGATTTGCAATGAAGGTTTGTAAAGCCTTCCCGTAACTGGAAGGATGATGTCCTGCAAACGGTAGTTGTCTGAATGAGCAGCAAATGTAGAGCCTGCTGTCATTTGACGCTCTCTTAGCTTCTGCGAAGAGTATCTTCAGGTCGATGGTTGTAGGTGGATGCAGCAATCGCTGCTGCTCATACTTGGCATATGTTGGTCGAGCACCGTAAGGGTTGGTCAAAATCAGTCTTGCAAGTCAGGGATGCTGGCCAGACTTTCAATTGGTCTATTTTTGGTGTCTGCAGTCATCGTATGGAAGCCGCTACGACTATCCGCAGCACTCCATGCCGCATCCCCCGCACCTGCCACAGACATCCTTCTCCTCGGCTCCTAGCTATTATCCTCAGAACACCTTCCAGAGCCGTAGCATGACAGGCAGCCAGGGAACGGCCTTGAGCTTGAGGCTTCCTTCTGGAGCTAGCAGCGTTGGCAGTGCCTCAGAATGGGATCCAAGTGAGGCACAAGCACTCCCTGCTGCCTCTCATTTGTCCCAGATAGTACCAGGGCCCCCCTTAGGAAGGCAGCAGAGTGAGGGGCCGAGCAGGCCCCGGCAGGGCGAGGAGGAAGGGTGCATTGTTCCTAGCTTCCAGACCCAGGCACATCTGGTGCCTATCCCACAGGCGAGGGCAAACCCTGGCACATCTGCTGCTCACGATGCCTCGGGGCGGTGGGCCTGGTGGTCCTGGCAGCAGCAGCAGGCCTCGTTTCGGGCGCAGAGGCCGCAGGAAGGCCTGTCAGAGTTTGAGGAGCAGTCCAGGCAGCGGCGCGTGGGGCCTGTTTCTCTTAGGGCCCCTGCTTACTCAGGCCCCAAACCAGCAGAGTCTGCATATGCACCGACAGAGCAGGACCGGAAAATGCCTGAAGCTGTGTGGAAAGGGGCTGCTGGGGAGGAGGGGTTGCGTGCCCAGCGTCTGGCGCTGCAGAAGCAGGCTGCAGAGGACTGGAGGATGGCAGCAGAAGCGAGCGGGCGGCAACTAGAGGTGGCGGCGCAGCAGACCGAGGCGAGCCAGCATCAGGCGCAGCTAGACTGCAAGGGGGTTGCGGAGGAGGTCCTGTTCGCAGCGGAGAGGAGGGCAGGCGCAGTGGCTGCACAGCAGGAGGTAGCTGCGCAGATAAAGGCGGCCATGGGGAGTCATTCTGAGGGGGAGAAACAGGGGCTTGTGCCAGTCCTGGATGCAGGGGGCAGCGAGGGGTTGCCCAAGCGGCCTCCTGGGAAGCCAACCCTAAACATCGAGGTTCCTGAGCTGAGTACACAGGCGGAACTGGATGGGGCTGTGGCAGGGGAGCCTGAGGGGTCAATTACACAGGAGGTTGCGTCAGGGTTGTCAGAGCCTGCGGTTGCAAGGGCAGCCCCTAGCGTGAACATGTCCTCAGGGGGGGGGGCTGCCAAGCAGCGGCCTCCCAAGCCGCGCAGCGAGGGGACGTATGGCTTTGTCAGGCATTTTCAGTCGTGTGTCCAGCCTGTGTCCCTGAAGGGCAACGGGGACAGCTCCCCAGAGGTTATTGAAGGCAGCGAGGGTGGTGGAGCGGCAGGGTTTAAGGATGCAGGAGCAAGCCAGAGGGCTGGGTTCCAGGTGGGGAAACGTGCGGAAGGAACAGAGGGGCCGGGGCAGGGGCACGCAAAGGGCAGGAAGAGAGCGAGCGCACAGGCCAACAGGGCCACGCAGGAAGCTGCTGCAGCGGTAGCGGCGAAGGCGGGTCCTAGCCCGAGCGGGTCTAGCAGCGGGGACCGCAGCGGGGGGGCAGGGGATGGGGCGCTGTCTGAGCAGGACC